CTAAACTCAGGAGGGTGAGGTGTGGTGAGGTGTGGTGAGGTGTGGCGGAACGTACTGAAATAGAAAGGCAGCGCCGTGTAGTTGTGGGCTTCCCGGTAGGCGATCAGGTTGATTTCATGTTGCCGCTGCTGGGCTTGAAGGCGGTGCTTGGCTCGGCGGTGGTGGCAGACACAGCAGCAGCTCAGGATGATGATGACGGTCCACACTAGCCAGAACCCTGGGAGGTGGGGAGCAAGACAGAGAGAGAGGCGCCCGCGCATGAGAACCAGTGAGATGGAGCGGCTCTCCAACAAGGTCTAGACGGTGCCTGTTGGGCCGCACCCTGTCACACATTCAAAAATGTATTTACCACAGGAAAAGATGCCCAGGACAAAGGGAAGGGAGCTGTTATTGTAAATGTGGTGGACATTAATAAGAGATCTTGGGAAAAATACTTTAGGCTTTCTTGGTAATTGTCTTCCCTTCCGAACTTCCCCAGCCCAGGAGCTCAGCAATGGCAAAGGACTCCAGAGCAGCCCCCATATAAGAACTCTAAGCCCGCCCTGTCACACATTCAAAAATGTATTTACCACAGGAAAAGATGCCCAGGACAAAGGGAAGGGAGCTGTTATTGTAAATGTGGTGGACATTAATAAGAGATCTTGGATAAAACACTTTAGGCTTGGTACTTGTCTTCCCTTCCGAACTTCCCCAGCCCAGAAGCTCAGCAATGGCAAAGGACTCCAGAGCAGCCCCCATATAAGAACTCTAAGCCTGGTCAGTGGTGACGCACGCCTTTAATCCCAGTACTCGGGAGGCAGAGGCAGGTGGATCGCTGAGAGTTCGAGGCCAGTCTGGTCTATAAAGCAAGTTCCAGGACGGCCAGAGCTACTTAGACAAACCCTGCCTTGAAAAGCTAAAAAGAAAAAAAAGAAAAAAAAATTCTTAGGATTCACCTGGTGAGAAACAAGATGGGGGATTTTCATGTGTGCCTCTGTAAACTGGGGTCATTAATTGGAGAGATGGAAAAATTTGAATTGCCTCAGGCCCCGCTCTTCCCTGGGGAGTGTAAATGACTTGCTGCACTATCTATAATCCAGTATAACCCCATCTCCCACAGCCTCGACAACCCACTCTCCCCACCCCCACACCCACCCCTTAAGCCTGTGTGGGCAGAAGACGCTAGCAGCTTCCCTTCTCCCTCTACTCCACAGCCCTCATTTCCCACTGTCTCAGTGAACCCCAACATGAGAACACCTCCTCAAATTTGAACAGAAAAGGCTTTTAAATACTTTAAAAAAATTAATGGTCCACTTTTGCTTAAATCTATATGGACATATATAGGAGAAAGACTGAAAGGAAAACCACTGAAAGGAATAACGACTTCTAAAAAATGAACATGTATGAGGAATTACTTGCATGTATGTTTGCCCTTGGCTGTCAGAGGAGGGCGTTGGCTCTCCTGCAGCTGGCATTACAGATGAGGGTGAGAATCCACACAGGTGCTGGGAACTGAATCCAGGTGTTCCACAAGAGCAACAAGTCTTTTAACCACTCAGCTAGCTCTCCAGCCCCAAATAATAAGATAATATTATGAGAAATTTAAGGCTTTTTCTTTTTGTTTTGATTGGTTGGCTTTTTTTTTTTTTTTTTCTTTTTTTGGTTTTTTGAGACAGGGTTTCTCTGTGTAGTATTGGAGGTTGTCCTGGAACTCTGCCTGATTCTGCCTCCCCAGTGCTGGGATTAAAGGCGTGCGCCACCAACGCCCTGCTTTTTTTGTTGTTTTTTGTAGCCCTGGCTGTCCTAGAACTCACCCTGTATGTAGACCAGGTTGACTTTGAACTCAGAGATCTGCCTGAGGTCTGCACTACCACTGCCTGAAGCTTTTTATTTTTACTGTCTCTCCTGGGTCTTTTTTTTTGGGGGGGGGGGGTGGTTTTTCAAGACAAAGGTTTTCTGTGTAGCCCTGGCTGTCCTGGAACTCACTCTGTACATCAGGCTGGCCTCGATTCTCCTGCCCCTTGAGTGCTGGGACTAAAGGCATGCACCACTACCTCCCAGCTGGCTTTATTTTTTTCAAATGATAAATATATTACTAAAAATTATTGTGTGATTGATTTGATTAAAATACATCATATGCAGGCATGAAATTGTCAAACAATTTTTTAAAATTACCCTATGTACATATGTATAATGCGTCAGTGCAGAAGTGTGAATGCCGCGGACGACCGCACGTGCAGAGGTCAAGGGTAACTTCAGCGAATGCCGCGCGCGTGTGTGCATGCGTGTGCAGAGGGCAGTGGATAACCTCTGTGAGAGGCAGGTATCTGCTTCCGCCCTGTGGGTTCCAGGCTTGTGAGTTTCAGGTCCTCAAGCTTGCATAGCCGACTGTGCCATCTCGCCAGCCTTGATAAATTCAGAGGCAGGTAGATCTGTGAGGTCTACGTGGCGAGTTCCAATCCAGGTAGGGTTACATGATGAGACCCTGTCTCCAAAAAACAGGGATTCCTGTAGCCCAGATTATACAGCAGAGGGTGACCCTGAACTTGTGACTCTTCTGCCTTCACCTTCCAGGAGCTAAGGTTACAGGCGTATGTGCCACATGCATGGAGCAGGCCCCAGAACAAGAGGCAACACTGCCCCAGCCCCTCTACAGAGGTTTTTAGTTCCTCTGGAAATATAGTCACGCACGTGACTTGTTTTTAAAATGACTTCTAAGGGTCATTTTCATACAATATTACTTTTGAATAAATCCCTGATAGTAATTAAAAAGTGGCAGATTGGCTGGAAAGATGACTCAGAGGTTGGGAGCGCCGACTGTTCTTCCAGAGGTCCTGAGTTCAATTCCCAGCAACCACATGGTGGCTCACAACCATCTGTGATGAGATCTGGTGCCCTCTTCTGGTGTGCAGATATACATGGAATCAGAATGCTGTATACATAATAAATGAATAAAATCTTAAAAAAAAAAAGTGGCGGATTATAAATACCATAAAGCAGCCCCCCCCCTTTGAGACAGGGTGTCACACAGTATAGGCTGGCCTCAAACCTATCATGTAGCTGAGGCTGGCCTTGAAGTCCTGGTCCTCCCTTCCCGCCCCCCAAGGGCTAGAACACAGGTTTGTACAGGCATACCTGGCTGCTCCCAATTTTTTCTGTATGACTTTTTTGTTCTCAATTAGTTTAATTTGAGTAAGATCACAGAATGATAATAAATTTAAATTAAAATATGAAGTATGCTATTAGCCTTATATGCCAAATTGCCATTATCTTTTTAAGTTACAACTGCCTGTAATTCTAGCTCCAGGGGATCCAATACCTCTGGCCTACAAGGGCACCCACACTCATATACATAATTAGAAATAAGAAAAACAAATCTTTTCTAAAACCTGCCGTGTAGGGACTAGAAGTATAGTTTAGGAGTAGAGCACATGCCTGCTTAGCATGGGCAAGGTGGCTTCTGAATTCCTAACACCACAGAGCTAGAAAACAAACAAACAAAACAATAAAATATAGGTTATACAGACAAAAAAAAAAAGTGTGGTCATGAGAGCGGGCATCTGGAAGCCACTCTAGGAGAAAACAGCCTAGTAGGTTTTCCGGGCCTGGTTTGGTTTTGTTTTTCCCTAATTTTCCCAGGATTCCCTAAGGTGAGCTATTATTGAATGAGAAGAACTATTCTTGTTCTCTGTCTAGTTTATTGTCATTGTTTTTGTTTTGAGACAGGCTCTCATGTAGCCCAAGTGGGCCAAACTCCTGATCCTCTTGTCTCCACATCCAAAATGCTGGGATTCCATTTGTACTTTAAAATCACACACACACACACACACACACACACACACACACACAGAGAGAGAGAGAGAGAGAGAGAGAGAGAGAGAGAGAGAGAGGGGGAGCTGTTTGCCTTTACCCATTGAGTCATCTCACTGGCCCAGAAGAGGGCGCTGGACCCCCTGGAGATGGAGTTACAGCTGTGAACTCAACTCAACTCCAGTCACCCGGAGAGCAGCGAGTGCTCTTAACAGCTGATCTCTCTAAGCCAATGATTCTCACCCTCCCTGATGTGCACCCTTCAATTCAGTTCCTCATGCTGTGGTGCCACCAACCACACAAGTCCTTTTGTTGCTACTTAATAACTTTAATTTTGCTACTGAGCAGTGCCCTTGGTTCCTGAGACCATAGTCAAGGCGCTTTCTGAGGGTCCCGACCCTCACGTTGAGAACCACTGCTCTGGGCGATCATTTTTTCTTCCCTGGGGATTGAACCTGACACCTCATCAATGCTAAGTGAGCACGCTACCACTGAGCCCTCTGCTCCCCTGTTCCTACCCCCACCCCACAGCTCAACTTTAAAATCAGTACCTAATGTTATTTTTTACTTGGATCATTTTCCCAGTATTTCCTCATCTTCTCTGTGTTCTAAGCTTTTAATATGTGTGATCCAAGGTATTACTCTCAGCTTTCACAACTTTTGCTTTAAACTCCACAATTAGTAAAGAAAATCTCAGCCGGGTGTAGTGACACATGCCAGTAACCTGGCCCTCCAGCATGGAGGCAAGATCTCCAGTGCGGAGCCAACCTGGCTGTCTCAACAAACAAGAGAAATCCCCCACACCCCTTTTCATGTCCACCAGAGATGCCTGGTTCTCTGCCTCTGGGTGCATAGATAGGCAGGGCTGAACTTCCTGGTCTCTGTGTGCATGTGTGTGTGGGGGGGGGATTATGGGACTAATTCTGCCTACTGACAATAATTATAAGTGGAATGTCATTTAGAGACTAGAATGTCTCTTGTGGGAAGCCTTCCATGGGCTTTCCATCAGCATTCCACTCAGTCAGTCAGTCATTTCTGGCACTGGGCTATGAAGACATA